TTCTCCTTCTACTATCGGCTCCCTTTCTATTCTCCCTTCCTTCTCTTCTCTCTCTTTCTCTCTATTCAACGATTCAACGATTGTCTGGCGCATAATTCACCGATACGAATCGTTAATAAAACATAGACGATCGAAAATGATGGTCGAAATGATTCCATACGAAATCGAATGAATATCGCGCGTTTAATGGAAACGATTAATACGCAAGCATCTCGATTCGCAGAAATGTTATCAATAGCCCGTGGCATAAAGTCCCTAGCTTAAAATTCAATGTTTGATACCGGCCGAGGCTCGACACGACCAGCACGCTGGTGTAATTTGGTTTTTATGCAAATTCACTTGACGTGTATAGTTAATGGGATATGGAACATTATTATTGGTCGCCGGGACGGTAAAAATACGCGACAGCCGCGGAATCTCTAATAATGCGAACAGCCATTTTCATGGTCATGCGAGGGAACTATATTAACGCGCCGTTTTCATGGTATTATTCAACCGAATATAATAATAATAATAATATCGAGATAATCTCGCCGCTATTCAACACAGATTATTTTAAAACACAATATCGGTAAAAAAGAGCAACTTTTAATATTAAAATCCTTTATCACTTTCGAATCCTATAGGAATCTATTAAAGAATTTCTCTTTTCATTTTCATTCCATTCCATTTTTTTCGCTCTCTACTTTTCTCATATTTATTCAGACTTTTAATATCCCATTTTTTTTTTCACTTCACAATTAGCAAAACTTAATATTATTTAATTCGTATTATTAATTTAAATATTAATTTCTCCAAAAAATTTTTACTCTCCAAAAAATTCATCGTTAATTCGTTTTTTGAATTTTTTAAATTTAATTCGTTTCGTATTCCTCCTTTTCTCCTTTTCTATTTTCTCCTTTCTCGATCTTGGTACGCTACGCGATGTTTTAATCAAAACGTCGAAGAAGAAGTTTATTTTACAACTCGAAGATGTGCGAGTATAACTTGAAAGTTACGAGTATAATCAATGATAATAACCGAGGTTCCTTTTAAACCTTATCCTCTATATTAACGCATTCAAAGTGTCGTTCGGCAAATTCAGCAAGGCAAACTTCTCGTTCTTTCGAATTCCAAGTAGCTCGAATCCTTTGTAAGATCCACCGTCGATATTGATCTCCGACAAACGAAATATATACATCATTTTAATTTTTATATATTATACATACATCAATGTATCATTTTAATTGGCACGTCGGTAGGAATGTTTAATCAACGATCCCCAAACTTTCTGTATCGAAGATCAATATTATTTTTAATAATGCTTTAGAAGAATGTTTTAATTTCGCCTGTTCATCGAATGGAATTTGATTAATTCGAATGATAATCGATAAATTCGATTTTACCCCTTTTCACACCCCTATTAAACCTCGCCTAAATAAATTCTAGCAATTCGGAAAAAGGAAAAAGAAATACAAAACTAAAAGAAAAGGAAAACATCCGTCCCGAGTCGGAAGTTTCAAATCTCCATTCGCAATGTATAACGAACGATTGGCAAACAACGAGAAGCAAGGAATCTTGTCTCCGGAACAGGTGGAAAGCTCGGGGCGTGAAAATTCGAACGTGGAACAAGGCACGAATTCAAGGAAATTTGCCTAATACGCGGAAAGAAGGAAAAGTGGTTGTAGGACGGAGCTGTGGCAGAGATAGAGACGAGGCAGGGAGGCAGACGGACAGCCAGACGTAGCCGAGGGAGGAGGAGGAAAAAGCGGGAAAAGCCGCGGTAGCCGTGCTGCCCCCTCCTCCCTTCCCCCTCTCCAGCGGAGATTTGCAATGCTAACCAGGGACTGCATTAAACGGGAATTAATTTCTTGCTAACCGTCTGCAGGAGTAGCTGCAGGCTGCCCCCGCTCCCTCCCCTCTCTTTCTCTTTCTCTTTTCTTCTCGTCCCTGGAACAACTCATCGCGACCGCACCACTGCCGCTGGATCATCCGAACTCACGTTTACCGAACTCTCTCGGGTGACCATCGTTGGATAACCAAGCAACGGATTTTCGTGCGGCTACTTCCGCCCGCCAGAATCAACCGGATATCCCTACGGAGATGCGACGCCACCGATCATCCTATCCTACCGCTTCTTTCCTTCGAGAACTCTCCCTCGTAAATTTATACTGTATCGAGGTATATCTGGCTATTATCATTGCACGTCTCGATGTATTCTCGTGGAGGGGAGAAGAACGTCCACGATAAATCTCGATTTAGAGATTAATCGAGAACGTAGCTTCCTCGAGAAATTGGCCGTTGGTTTTTAAAGATACCTTATGCGAAGTGTTTTTACACTCAGCGTCTGTTTATTGATCGTTCGCGAGAGTGTGAATTCATCGAATTAAGCCGAAGAATGTATTGCAAGTTTCCATTGATTAACTTAATATCGTCTAATTATTATTAACATCATCTAAATTCGTTTCTTATACGAATTGTTTATGGATATCCAATCGAATGCTGGGAAAAGAGAGATATAATAGTTCGAGATCAAAATCGATGTCGTTAACGACAGAAAGGATTGGAAAGGAGTTAAACGCTCGTTCCGCGGATGGACGCGCAACGAGAATTGTACAACGATCGTCTGAGGGACGAGCAATTACAGCGGTGGAGACAAATTGAAGACTGATTAACGCTCGACTGCCGCTGACAATCGTTTCGCGTGCGAGGCAAGAGGGTGGCTCGCAGAGACGAGCTAGCTGCAATTCATTCGCGTATCGAACTTCGATACTTCGCGTCAAGGAGTTGAATCACCGAAGAAAGAGAGACTTTCGTTACGTTGGTCCAATAACTTTTACGCGCTCGTTTGTCTCTCTGTCTATTTCGCGAGCATCGAGTCTCTGGAATTGACGCGAAGAAAGGAAATACGTATTACTTTCCACGATTGGTCCTCTTCTCACCTTATATATCATCCCTTGAGATACAAAATTTGATAGATAAAACCGGATACGCGCAACAAGTAAAAAAGCGATAGGGTTAATCGAACGGAAGAGATGTCTAATATTTTCTTTAAACTCGTTTGAAATCGACTTTTGTATTACGCGGGTAGAGGGATCGACGATTTTTCGAAGATCAAAGTAATAAAATTCGGTGGGGAAACGTTCGTGTACTTTGATTTTACAGAGCTCTCAAAGCGGAAGATTACGTTAATGCGTAAAATATTTTAATCGGTCTCGTTACCGGTGATGAAAAGCGTTCATTAATTCCGGGGAATTCATTTAATTAACGCAAATTAGTCGAAGCACCGCGATACGAAAGCCAATCGATGAAACAATCAATTGATTCGATCGAATTGCCAATTAAACGGCTGTTTAACATGAATTAATTAAAAGTATCACGCGCGAAATTAACAAGGATGCGTGCGCCAATGCCAACACTATATAACGCATTGTTAAATCACGATCTTAAACAGGTACAGAAATTATCGGATAATAATCCCCGGAATATGGGATCTCACTTTATCTCGAGTTCTATTTCTCTCTCGCGCGAAAATCTAGCAGGGCAGGGAAGGGTTTTATTTCGAGATCTGGCAGAAAGTTTGCGCTTCGAGATTTATGCTACGTTTGCCCCTATACGTCCTATACGTAGGTAAAGCTTGACAGTAACGGATCTCCGAGAATCGTAGCGTGCAAGACTTCATCGTGGCGAGATACCGAGACTGTAAAATTTGTTTAAACCTATCCCCTATGGTTCCACGTATCCTGGAAACAAAACTATTTGCAAAAGAAGCTTTCCACGATATGCCGGGATTTCGTACAGATTTGTACCGTGAAATCGTCGGACAGTTTTACGTCTTTTAGCTCTAGATTTAGAAACAGAAACATTTTTAAACTTTCAAACGTTTCAATAATTCGTTAAAATTAATATTAATATTATTATAAATTTTTATCATTATTTTATTATATAATTAAATTTTATTATTTTATTATTATTATAAATTTTATAAAATTCCACGTAAAATTTCTCGTTCGCAATATTTTACGCGACAAATATACCTGTATATACGACCGAACACCAATGTTATCGATAGTCTTTAGAGAAACAATAACAAAAGGAGAGGGAAAGATTATTAATGAAAACAAAGCGTACGGGCGTTCGACGACTTACGTTCGTAGACGAATGCGTAGTATCGCCGCGACCGTGTCGAGAGAAGTACGACGTAAATACGCGGTGGAGCACGAGCGAGGAATATCGGTGTGGGGAATCGAGCAAGGAATATCGGTGTGGAGAATCTCGAGCGAGGGGTTGGGGCGAGGGGTGTGCAGTGCGTCTTGTGCAGAAATCTACCCTCGTTGGGGTGGGCCGGGGTGAAGCCCCTGGTGGTCGATACGTGGGTCAGCAACATGCTTCACTGACAGTGCCAATGAGCCAGTTTGCGAAATCCTCGAACGGTACAATCCGACTACCAAGTATCGGCGATACCAAGCGGTATCAAGACCTCGACAACGATCATAATTAATAACGGCTATCAATTTTCGTGGAGAAGATGATCAAATGCCCGGTCGACATTCCCCGAATTATATTATATCCGATATAATTCGGAAGCCAATCCGAAATTCGCAAGCGATGTCGGCGATAAGCTCGATAAAGGCCTCGATGGGAACGCCTCGATTCGCGTTTTTCTTCGAGAAAGGAGAGCTCGATGAAGAAAATTACGATTTATACGAAAATGAGTTTGCGGGATACGCGCGAAAGGAAATATCAAGGTAATTTTTCTTGATGTAATTCGATTCTATACGACGTGAAAATTTGCGTTATATATATATATATTCGTTCGAATCAAATGTTGAATAATATTGCCTGCCCAGTGAAAAATGCGCGAGCGATTTTTTTTAACTGAAAGAATTTCTCCGAATAAACAGCGTGATATTTATTATTAAAAAATTGAACCGCGATCCGTGGAACGTTTCGAAATATTTTATTACAACGAGACGAACAATCGCAATTAATTAATCCGCGAAATCAATTGGCTCGTTATACACGGGACGAATGCTTTTGCCCGAAACGGTACTATTCCAACGCTACTTGCCTCCGTAATCCACAATCGGATCTTAGGATTCATCCGACTTTACCGTTCGACAACATCGATCCATCGAAGCCATCCCGGGATGAAACGTGATACGGTTTGTCATTATTAATAACCGCTACGTCGCTTCCCTATTATTCAAGGCATGATCGTAATTCACCCAAGTGTTTGCCTGTCCGTTTTAATAGCCACTGTACCAATCTCGACGTTTCGGGATCTCTGTTTCGAAACAATGGCGATCACGGTAAATCTTCTTAAAATGGAATCTCGATTTTAGAAGGAAGATCAGAAAGGATGGAAAGGGTATAGTACTTTGGAAAAATTGCAGTCTAGGCAATTTCGAAATCCCGTTGGAAAATCGAAATTCCCTTCTCGATTCCTTCTCCCCACTATTCTTAACCCACGGAACCTATCTCGTCCATTTTCTTCTGGTTTGAAAACCAGACACAGCAATAGCTACCATTCCTTCCTATTCGTTCGTTCGATTAGCCAAGAGGGATCCCGATCTATTCATCGGGAAGTGTATTACATCAATTTCGAGGTTAAATAGAAGCTTGCTTTGGAAACAGACATTTTTTTTTTCTCCTTTTTTTCTTTTTTTTCCCTCTCTCTCTCTCTGTCTCCCTCTCTTTCTCTCTCTCTCGTACGTCCGATATTTGCACGAACGAGTGTACGATCGAGCCATCGAATCCATTAGACAGATTGCAGTTTTGCATTTTTAAAAAATCTCGCGCTGCTTGTTCCAATCTATTCCTCGCGCCCCTTTCGTTTCGTTGTTTCACGTATCTATCTGTTTTGAAACTCGACGCGTATCGTTTATTTGCGTTTCATTCTGTAACTATTTTTCTTTCCACTTATTTCCCTTTACTTTTTTTTATTTTTTTTATTTTACTTTTTTTTATAATTGAACGGTATGTGCGTATGCGTGCGTGTGTGTAATCTGTTAGATAAAGTAAAAAAGATATTTAGATTTAAGATTTTCGATTAATTAATTTTTCCCTCGAATACAGAGAAATATTTTGAACAAGAATGATGTTCTTTAAATAAATGAAATGGTTCGACGCGATTTTGATTTTATTTGGGGAAAGAAAAATTCGAACGAACCAATAGGCGGCGTCAATCAGGAAGATTCAAATCCAAGATTTTTTTTTTATCGCCGAATGTAAATATTTGCGTTAATTGGTTGCTTCAAAGCTACATCTTTTTTTTTTTTTTTTTTTTTTTTTTT